CAGGTAAGTTGGCATCTATCTCACTTTGTGTAGTAGTTGGAGGTCGAGCTGGGCCAATAAGAGACGATAGCAGCACCATATCTTCATAAGTGGGATTATCAGAAAATAACGATGGAGTAGTTAGGAGAGGATGGGTAGAAGGATATGTACCACCTAAAACGTAAATAATCCATGAACGCGCAGGAGGTGTTTGAGTCCCAGTGGATGCTGTAGATCCAGTCATAGTTCTATTTGAAGTTGAAGAGGAACGAGCTCTGGTAGGTCGGTTTCCAGGTGAATTCCGTGTGTCATTGGTTGAGTTATTGTTTTCGGGCTGTTGCGACTGAGGAAGAGTACTCGTAGGGTCTTCCCTTGGTGGAACACTTCGGATGCCAATAATGATAACAGGAACCATATGCGGTCCATTATTTTCATTATTAGGAGGTTCATTTACTGTTGTGGATGAAGACTGATCTGACATAGTTTCGGTAGTTGGATTTTGTTGCGATGAAGAACGAGGCCCACCAAATCGAAACAAGCGGAAAAATGACATTGGTTGAGATGACTGTGAATTAGGTGTATTTCCATCAGATGAAGCTTGTTCTTCAGATGTTGAAGATGACGTTGTCTGATTTGAAGGTCTATTAGAAGCTTCACGGCGTCTTCTCTGTAAAGCAGCTAAGAAACTTTCAAAACTTCCATCATGACCCTCACTGGCAGCACGTTCGGCTTCAATTACCGCATTTTCCTGGCTTTCAACAAGCGATCGCGCTGTTGCAGCCGCTGCCATAGACAATAAACGGCCCAGAACTTGGTTTTCTGCATCATTATCCTCGTTGTTGTTATTAGAATTATTATTGCTTTCAGAATCAGGCCCCCCCACATTAAATAATCTTCGCGCAGAAATTCGAGTTAGCCTTCGTCTCAAACGTTGTGGAGATGCTGCCGAAGAATCTGTTTGAGTACCAGCGGTGGATGAATTTGAGCTAGTATCAGATGCATTAGGTAATGATGTTGTATACGATGAATAAGGACGAGACGATGATCCGCGATTAGTGCTAGATCGACGCGGGCGATCAGATACACGAAGATTTGATCTAAT